CACCCTCCAGTTTGGAACTCTTAATTATAAAGCAAAAAGGTAACTTACGCAAGGAAACTTACCATTTCTTAACAACTAAATTCATACCAGTTTTCTTTTCAAAGCTCGTACGCATTTAGAAAGAATAAAACTACTTATGAATTACATTCTCGATGCCTTTAAAAGTGATTGTCTTGTTCATATTTTAAATTAAAAAAATATTAGCAACACCGAAATTCGTTGATTCTTTCGGTTAATAAGGCATTCAAATGAATCTAAGGAATCATTCAAAAATTATTATTGTAACAAACATTTGGAATCGCTTCAAAACTAGGATTAGTTTCGTTACCTTTAAAGGTATGTAATAAACCAGCAATCGACATGTTTTAATGCGTTTTAACTATTAATAATGCTTATCTAATCATTTTAACAATGTCTGAAAAATTTCAACTGAAGATAAAGGAAATGGCTTCATGAAGCTTTTTGTTTTCAAAGTACTTTCACAGAAAAATCTTCTTTTTGTTTTATTATATGAACGTCGCTGAAAAAGCAACCCGATTTAGAGTTTGCGACTACTAATGTTCAACTCCGTAGCTTTGTAATTTTGAACCCAATCCAGAAGACAAGGGAACTCCTGGATCAAGTATAGGGAGAAATTTGCCTTCATGGAACACTTTTTGATGGAATTAACCCGCATTTGCGTTATATGGAGAGAAAAACCACTAAAACCTTCCACGGTTAGCCCTATGGCAAGAGGACTCCAACTCATGCTCCGTCAACCACTGAGAATATTTTACATCAGCACTGTGGTTGGGGCAAGCCAGATGCGGAATTCGTATCGTCCAGCAATCGCTGGGATTCAAAACCGGGTCACCTTATTGGAAGGTGAACCTTTTTTTCTGAGCCACCACGACTCTTTTCCTTTTTTTAATTCTTTTATATCCGCGGTTGAACAGCCGACCCAATTTTGGGTTTACGACTACGTTCAACTCCGTAGCCTTGTAATTTTGAAGCAATCTAGAAGACAAGGAAACTCCTGGATCAGTACCCCAAGAGGTATTGATTTGTTATGAGAACATGGAGGACTTTGCGACTCAACAGATTTAGCGTGCATCAGTCACCATTTACTACACGGGATAGTCTGCCGTCGGCGGGGATCGAACCCACGAACTCCTGGACATGGGCCGTTCTTTTTTTTTATTTGGAGTTTAAGTATCTGATACTATTGCATGTAATCATTTATTTACATAATCATTTTTTTAAATAATCTAATACTGTTTTTTATTCGCCAACAATAACAACAAGAGCAAATTGTATATTAAGTCGTTATTCTTACCCGAGCCCGGCCATCTGATCACAGGCACTTTCAGCGTTGCTTTTTCCACTTCATGCGGCCATTACAAGCGCACTTTTATCTTCTTCTTTTCCCCTTTTTATTCAATTAACTTTTCTTATTTCTGAATGATTCCTCATATTCCGAATTGAGCTTTAAAGATGATAAGTTACAATAAGCTGGACGGTTAAAAGACATACCATCCCTTCGATGTTAGTTACGTATAGTTTTAATATCCTACATTAAACATTATTCAACATCATTTCTTACTCTGTTTCAATGTTACATAAAAGTTTACTATAAATGTTATCGTCAATAAACAGATTATACCATAATGACCGCCATTAATATATAGTTTAAAAATCCTCCTCAAACATAAAGTCAAAAAAGTAGGCAAGTCAAAGGTTGCGATTCAACATTTGAACAAGAAAGAAACAAAACGCTATGGAAATATAATTTATGGGAAAAAACTGACAGGCGTATTGACTCTTACTTAGGAAAACGGGACAACAAACATGAAAAAACGTTTGATTGCCGTAAGAAAAGCCTCGCATTTTTATTAGGTAATTAAACTGGTTTTGATTTTTTTCCCACCCGCTCTTCACACTAGTGATTCGACAGATTACGATAGCACTTTTGTTTCTTCCTCGATTAAACACTTATATGAGACGAGACTATTTTCATAAAATTCATTTTAGATAAGGATTATTAAAATATATACATTAAGGGCAGTGATTACATTACACCTTGTATAATAGAATAATCTTTGATGAATAATAATTATTTAGCAGAGCTTTAAACTACTTTCTCGTTTAAATCGTAGTAAAAGAAATGCACCAGAATATGCAAATCAAGTGATTTTAATAACGTAATTCATATCTTAAAACGCATAAAAATGTTTCGTTTTTTTCCAAAATATAGGTATTTAATTTTGCAAAAATAGTTTAATGCAAGTTTCTTTTAGATCAGGTGTTCAAGCAAAAAATTGCACAAATACAAGCCTTCTATAAAAAGGAAATAAAGAAAAACTTAATGATTATAAGAAAGTAAACACTTTCGTAACTTTTTATCGAACAACTGGATTTATGCGTGTTAAGATGAAATCTTAATAATTCGAGGGACTATCCTTAAAAATACTATGATATTTATGCAGATGATATTTTAAGTTATGAAATAACTTAACGTACGTACTTTCTCTATGTCTCTATTTTTATGTACTTTCTCTGTATCTCTATTCTTGACTCTCAAAATGTAAGGAGTAGCAACAACCTGGAATACATTGTCTTAGATTCAGTCGAAGAGCGATCGAAGTTTTGGGCTCATTATTTTAATCTTATTTTTTTCAGACTAAATATTATAAAAAAGAAGTTTCTCTCAAAAATCATTGAACTAATTCAATTCCAATTTTGCTCTGTCATTTAAAATTACATTGTTAAAAATGATATAAAATTTGTATACCTTATAAAATTCTAAAATTATTTTACTATTGTTAAAATATAGGCAATGAAATATTTATAAAAAAAAAACTTATTTTTAAGTTGAATTATCTTTAATGATAATTAAATATATATTTTAATTATCATAAACAGTTCCAGTTATATGCAAGAAGTGAAATTAACATTAAGAGGCTCAAAATTTTCAACCGCTCCGCTCTCCTGCCTAAACTATGGGGAACATATTTTCCAAATTGTGGCTACTCACCATATTTTCAGGGTCCAGAATCCAAATTCATCGAAAAAACTTTTTTGTTTATTTAGAAAAAGTACGTTTTTATGTCCGATTTTGTACCTCAAAATATCGTCTGCACAAACATTTTAGGTCAGTCCTTCGAAACATTAAGATATCATCCTAGTTTGTAAAACTCCAATCATTCGATCAAAAGTTATTAAAGTGTTCTAATTTTATTTTGCGCACTTCACAATAAATTAATGATAAAGCAATTAATGATTAAACATTATTTAATGTGATTTTTTAACAGGAAAGATGTCAAAATAAATTGTAAAAATATTTTTTAAGAATTTTATTTTAATTTTAAATTTTTATAATTTGTTAGCTTCGTGCTTATTTAGGATAAAACATTTTCTTCAAACCCGAAACTGAGCAACAGGAAGCAACTTATGACACATAAGTTTTAAAGCATCTGTTTACAGAACATCAAAGGCACTATGAGTGAATTGCTTATACTTTCCTCTTCACAGTATCAGTACAAATTTCTTATTAGTGTTGTGAGACATGCTTGATTGTGCTCATAAAAATAAATTGCATTAAAAAGACAAGCTACCTTTGTAGTTGATATTAATACTCAAAGGACAAAGTCCCACGCAACAATATTTTTTCTTATAATTATTTATGATTTTGCTTAAAAAGCGATGTTCTCAACATTTTACGGATTTCTGCATGTAAGAACAATTAATGCTTATCCAAAAATTCTAGTTCATATATTTAGCAAATATTCTACATATCATATTTTTGATATCTTACAATTCATAATTAGACGATATCCTTTATCGACTAAATAGGAATACATTAGTAATAAATATACATTATTAGTAGAAAACATAAGTATTAGATATCCTAGAATTCATTATTAGTAGGTTATTTAGAATTCATTAATAGTTAGTATCCTAGAATTCATTATTACTATGTATCTTAAAATTCATTTGTAGTTAGTATCCTAGAATTGATCATTAGTAGGTAATTTAGAATTCATTTTAGTATCCTAGAATTCATTCTTAGTAGGTAATTTAGAATTCACTTGTAATTAGTATCCTAGAATTCATTCATAGTAGGTAATTTAGAATTCATTTGTAATTAGTATCCTAGAATTCATTATTAGTAGGTAATTTAGAATTCCTTTTAGTATCCTAGAATTCATTCTTAGTAGGTAATTTAGAATTCCCTTGTAATTAGTATCCTAGAATTCATTCTTAGTAGGTAATTTAGAATTCATTTGTAATTAGTATCCTAGAATTCATTATTAGTAGGTAATTTAGAATTCATTTTAGTATCCTAGAATTCATTCTTAGAAGGTAATTTAGAATTCACTTGTAATTAGTATCCAGAATTCATTCTTAGTAGGTAATTTAGAATTCATTTGTAATTAGTATCCTAGAATTCATTACTAGTAGGTAATTTAGAATTCATTTGTAATTAGTATCCTAGAATTCATTATTAGTAGGTAATTTAGAATTCATTTATAGTTAGTATCCTAGAATTCATTATTAGGCAATTTAGAATTTATTAATTGTTAGTATCCTAGAATTCATTATTAATAGGTATCTTGGAATTCAATAGCAGTTAATATCTTAGAATTAATTATTAGTAGGTATAATGGATTTCTAAAATTACTGTTAAGTAGATATCTTTTTTTTTCAAAGGAAAAGTTATTTGCATGGATCGTGATGTTTTTCATTAAAAATGCCCACAACTTTGCAATTTGGAAATGGGGCTTAACAGAATATTTGAAGCAATATCATTAGCCTAAACCAATATTTTTACGAATTTATCGTTTTACACATTCCATTTACACATAATATATATATATATATAATTTGTAGTTAGTATCCTAGANTATATATATATATATAATGGGTTTTGGTTATCCTTTCTTATTTTTTCTATTTGAATCACCATATTTACGATATTTATGAGTTAATATGAAATTCACAGTGAATGAAACTCTCTTTGTATTCAACCTTCGTAACAAATTAAACTCTAGAAAGGTTAAGAACTCTAAAATGCTTTTCAAAACTAGTTTCAACTTTTTGAACTTCTGATTTTATTTAACTTACACTTCAGTTTAAAAATATTACCCCGAAGGGTTTTACATTTATATGCGGTCTTAAGATATTTTAGTAGTTACGACTACTTTATAATCTTACCTCAGTTGCCGGTTTTAGACTGGGATGACTACAAAGTGATCGACCGAGGGTTAATAGTGTATGAAAACCCATCTGGGTGGCTTAATCAAAATCACAAAGCTCGTTCTTAATTAATGCCATCTATGCATGTGATATCTGTATCTTGATCTATAAGGCTTGGGTCTCGGAAACATGTATCGTTGTTTCCAAATTAACCTTTCTGTAAAAACTGGTTCCGTCGTTGTTAAATCGTCGCATGTGGTATTCACGTCTTTTTTCTTCACATAAGCCATCACCATTCGGTTCGAGTAATATCTCCTCGAATTGAGGAGTTTGGATTGAAAGTCTTGCTTCTGCACACATACGTCATACCACATGCGAGTACGGTTCCTCATTTCCTCTACGGCGATCCCCATTTTGTCTGTTCCGAAAATGTGTATCCTTTCTGATAATCTGTTTAGAAAATACTTATAAAGCATCATGTCTGCATTGTTGAACTTCAACAAGCGTTGATGCAATTCAGAACTCATTTTCTTCTTGTATCTGAAAGGAAAAGGAAGGAAACTGTGTTAAAGTAATGGGTGCAATTCCATATTCTTCAGCTATATAGGCAGGAAGACGCGTGGCTTTCAGTGATTTCAGTTTCAAAATTATAAATGGCCAGAAAAAATATCATTGTTCTTTGGATTCCGTTTCTAACTTTACGCAGTTTGTAAGCTTTTTAAACATTTTTTTAAATGTTTTTTCTCATAACGATATTTATAGCCTCATGATGATATTTTCAGCACGAATTGTAGGTTAGGAAAAATGTACTTTATAAATGGATGCGCCGACGATTCGGCTCTATTAAACGCGCTCTGGTGACTTCTGCAAAGAATCTAGAAAGCAAAAGAAGTACAGCTTTTCGAATACGTAACTAACGATAGGAAGTGCTCGGTGTGGTATAAATGGTTGACTGAATATCAACAATAACAAGCTTCCTAAAACCGGAAGAAATTTAGAAAACTTCCGGTGTATCCCTCCGCTTAAGTTATGCTTACGAGGCAATGTGTGAATAGGCTTAATATTTTAAGCAGTTATATTATTGTGATTTGTGCTTAAATTTACGCTTAATTTTACCATTAATAAGAGTTTTCTGCAATTTTTAACTTCCAGCAAGTCGTGAGCCTTATACAAATTTAAGAAAATTCAAAACAAATGGTAAGGTTTTACATGTTTTGAATGTTACCCCCCTTGTATGGCTATATTAGTGTAAAATGTCGCCGTTGGTTATTTTTAGGATGGATCGTGTAAAGATAAGGGTGGTGGCGCTAGTGGTAAAATTGCTCTTTCAAGACTTCCGGGTTACTGCTTCCGATATATTTTTACTCCGCAGATTGAAAAAACGCGCCATCATATTATTGCATCATATTTTTTGCAGTATTTCACATGTACCGAGTTCTTTCTTTCAGCCTTTAAACTTCAGCATTATCATATTAATATTATAATCATGAGAATATTTTCTAATTAAGCTAACTTAAAAAGATACTTTTGGCAACATTTTATTCAAATGTAGCCAAATAAGGGATAAAAATACAAAACATGGCAAACCTTAAGAAATATTTACAATGAGATATTAACTTTCCAAAATTGTTTTTGGCCTTACGACCTCTGAGAATCAATACATTTCTGAAAGCTCTTATGAATGGTACAATTATGTTTAGATTTGAACCCAAATTACAATAACAAAACTGCATATAATATTAGGCTTGTTCACACATCGCCTCGTAGTCATAACATAAGCGGAGGGATACACCGGAAATTTTCTAAATTTCTTCCGGTTTAAGGACGCTTGTTATTGTTTACATTAGACCACCCATCCATAGCATCATAGCATGCTTGCGGAGTGTTTCGAATTCATTTGTTCTTTGTTTCTTTGAAATTTAAGTTAACGCGTTATATTGTAAACGCTACAAATATAATAATATAGAATGGCGTGCTTTTTCGAGCTTTTTTAGGCTTAAAAATCAATCGAAAGTAGTAAGCCAGAAGACTTGTTACGAATTTTAACACCTAGCGCCATCTGTACATTGCTTTGCACGGTCAACCATTCATGATATACCACAAAATAAACTTACAGGGTGAGCAACGTTCTCAGATTTGCTAAGATCTAGGGCATGCGCATAAGATGTAAAGTGACAGTCACCTGTAAGCTTGTTGTTGGACAAGTTGGTTGGTTTACTTATTCTTAACCTTACTACACTACTAATTCTTAACATTATTATTGCTTTGTTTAAAATTTATTCCGGTTTCTTCAACGGTAAGCTTCCTGACAACATTATTTTATAACAATCTATAGTCATTTTCGAATAAAGATACAGTGAAACTTCTCCTAAAGGCCACCTCTACTTAAGGGCCACCTCTATTAAGGGCCAATATTTTGAGGAACGAAAATTTTCTCCATAGACATAATGTTAATTTTCCTCCCATTAGAGGGCCACATTTTCCTGACTACCTCCAATAAAGGCCATTTGTCCCCCGTCCCATGAGTCCCCCGTGCCATATTTATCAAACCAAGAAACGCTAATAGAAGTAAATAAACTGATATCCCAATCCAAGGCATTAATAAATGATGCGAATTTAACTAATTTGTTTTATAGAGTTAAGGAATCATTAGAAACTAAAATTGTTTGCGAAAAAATTGTAAAAAGTAAACAAACTTCAATTGAAAATTTTTTTAAACATGTATAAAAGCTTAAAATGTTAATAAACAGTTTTTTTCTACATAAATTTTGATTTCCTCATTTAACTTTTTGGTCACCCCCATTTAAGGGCCACCCCCCATAAAGGCCAATTTTCAATGGAAGGACAGGTGGCCCTTACCGAGAGGTTTCACTGTATTTATAACCATCTATAGTTATTTTAGAATAAAATTATTTTATAATCATCAGCAATTACATTAGAATAAAGTTATTTTATAATCCTATATAGTTATTTTAGAATAAAGTTATTTTATAATTATCTATAATTATTTTACAATCAGTATACATAATACAGGAAAACAAATTTTTTGCTGCATTTATACATGTACTTGATCATGCCGAATGCTTTTGGGGGGGGGGGGNGTTGGGGGGGGGTCTTTCAAAACTAAGATAAGTTTAGTTCGGAAAAATACAAACTTTTTTTCAAAATGTTTTTTTTTTCTTTAACTCAGTTTGTTCTTTGTCTGAATGCGCAAGTAGAAGCTATGGGTTTATATAAACACATAGACTTGTCTGCTATTTTGAAAATAACACTTAAGACAAAAAACATATAACCTTAACGCATCGTATCATAAACTGAAATATATTATCACCTTCTTCCTACCACTCCCTACGCAGTAGAGAAGTGAGGACACCTAGTATTCACTCGAGTAAATTTAAAAAAATTCTGGTTTGGATTATATTATTAAATTGTATAAAAACTGTAGCTTGTAGAAAGTAACCGATTGAAATCAGCAAACGTGAAATATCTAAGATCCGTTCAAAAATCTAATGCAAGAGGGGAAAAAAATTGTTCTCTAGTATATTCTGTGAATTACCTTTGATTTCTAGCATTCAAATGAAAAACAATGACGTCATCCATGTCCCAACAGAGAAGTTCCCGAAGTAGAACAAGAGATTCGTCCATCCTTTCTCTGACCATAACCAGATCGAACACTGAATCCAAGAATCTTATGTAATCCATGATCATTGTCTCATTAGTGAAGAGTTTGTCATCGAATCCAAGATCAAACAGCATTTGGTTGAAGCCAATTTTATTACCCATGCGTTTGTCGTAGAATCCTTTCGGCTTCTCGTGTTTGCCTGAAAAATGAAGAAATCTTGTTTATCTACTAATCCTAACATCTTAACGGAATAAATGGGTGTAGTCTCTTTGATGGAGTTAATTGTGATTCACGCGTTATTATTAAAGAAAATTCTTACAATTATTAAATTAAATCATATTTATTTCTACTTATGGAATATATTTGAGTTTAGTAATATGTATACTGATACTGCGATATAAATAATCACATAACAAATGAATAAATGTTTTTATAATCGAAAGAATATATGAATATAATAATGATCACAATGTGATAAAATGGTGTTATAAAAATGCATCGATGACTTTGATGTGATTCATGCATTATTATCAGTGACTCTGTTTAATGATTTACTTTAAATAAGATTTCTATCATTGGAATACATTTGAGTGAAATACGTTGTTGTCATCGGCCATTAAGGTAGAGCGGGTACGATTGTTCTTGTTTTCTAATTGAGCCATCTACGGCCAAGAATTCAAATTCTGCCACACACGTCACACCCGTTTATAGGGGGAACCCAATCATACATCCATTATCCCCAGATCGTAATTTTGACCTGAATCAGAGAACGATTCAACTCCCATTCAGTACTCCAGAGGTATAATTTGTTACGGAAACAGGAAAGACTTTGTGACCCGGCAGATTTAACGTGCCCCAGACACCATTTACAACACAGGGAGTTTTACTCCGGCTGGATTTGAACTCCCGCGAACGCGAGTCGAGCGCTCTGCCAATCATATCCTGACCTCTATAAACGTAAAATGAAATGTGTATATAGATACTGAGATTAAAAAAAATAATAAAAAAACAGATATAAAAATAAAATTAGTGCTTTTTTAATGTGAGGATTATAATGAAAACTCCCTATCAACGAAATAGAATGGTGTGTGAAAAATCTTCTAAAAGTCTTAAACATTCTACATTATTCGCAGATTCTACAGTAAATAGAATATGGATCTTAAGCATTCGATCAATAGAATTACTTTTATTGATTGTCATTTCAATATGAATAAAAGAAAATGAAGTGAATGTTATCTTTTGTTATATTAATAAAAATGCGTTTCCATAAATATTTAACGTTTTGGAATGTAACTAAGCCTAATGATTTTTAATAAAATGATTTATGGAAGAAATTTATCATTCCTTATTAGTCGTTTCGTTATTTTTTCACTTGGGGGAATGATTTATAACTATTTACATATGAACTATACAATAAAATAGGTTACAAGTTCAATGAATTGAGTACTACATGTTTAAAGCGACTCACAAAATTTTTATGATGGAGTTAATTCATTTTCTTTATACTTGTATTTGTATATTTGTTTTTAAAGTACCTCTATCTATAAATAAATAAAACAGTCATAAAAATGTTATACTATTAACTAATATACATTTACAGGAATGCTACAAGCGACTAAAAATGTAAAAAGCGGTGAAATTTTTAGTTTTTTATTATCTCTTTAATTAGTCAATCGAAACTGACACTATATAGAACTTACATTTCAAATAATTCATATTCAAAACACAATTAAAAAAAATTGGAAAAAAAAAATAGAGTGACGAAATATTTTTTATTGACGAAATTTGTTTCCTCGAGGAAGTAACGATAGCTATTTCGTCATTTTGACAAAATGTTTGCTCTGAGCATATACCAGGAAACAGTTTCGTGAAATTTGAGTATCCATTTCTTACAGTGTGGTAATGCAAAATACAAATTCTATCATTTTAAATAATCGAAAGATACTATACCTAGTGTGTCAAATCTCTCCTTATAAAAATGCTGCAAATTATAGAATGAAAATAACGATTCAAAAAGATCCACGGGATTTCTCACTATGGTAACAAAAACGACATTATCCGGAAATTTACGACGGATTTCTTCGTAATTAAATCGGCAATGATGAGTCAGAATATTATAGTGGAGACCATATTTTCGAGGATTCGGCACCATAGTCCAGTTGAATGGTTCAGGGTGTCCTATGTAGCTCCCTTTCATTGGAAGAACAAAATTTAGTCCATGTCTATAGCCGTAGCGAGTAAAAATGTTCTGAATGCTGGAGCTGGCACATTTATGTGTTTTCAGAAAGACAATATTCTTCCTAGGTTTACAGGAGTTAGTGGCTGATCCTATCTGTTCATCAGTATTCAGATAATCATCATCATCATCAGCGGAAAATATTCCTTGAAAGGCACTGGAAAAAAAATCGATTTCATAATTTTAACAACTTTAGAGGTTACAAGGGAACACTCTACGATGTATAAAAGAAATTTATCCTCAGACAAGTTTATTGCTTAGCAACTATAGGGGAGAATTTGTATCAATAGTAGGAAGTTGAGAATGATATCAAATATGTCTCAGTTGCTCAACAACTGAGAAGAATTTGATAAAACTTTTTCTAAAGAACAGCAAAATTCCTCTGAACATCGCAAAGTGTTCTCTTGTTCGTATAAGAAATTAAGAGACATTTTAAAAACATTCTTATTTCTGAGTTTTATAAAACAACAACAAATGATGACAATTTGACAGCAATCAAATATGAAAGACGACTGTTATTCCTAAGGTAATATTTTTTTTTCTAATGGCAGGCACTGAGTTTGAATCTTTGCCTATACTATGCCAGAATTGTTGCTCATTTCGCGTTACCCAGTGGGCACCTGTGAACCAAAGTCACGGAAGAGAGCAACATTGCCCACGCCACACTGCCACAAACCCGTTTATAGGGTGGGCCACATTCACACATCATACACACACACAACAGAGGACAGCACAAAGAGAGAGAGAAACATCCATGCCCAGAGCGGGATTCGAACCCGCAGCCTATGGTTTCGCAGTCAGGCACGCTAACCGCTCGGCCACCAGGCCGGCTCCTAAGGTAATATATTTTCTCAGAAAAATACTGAATCAATTTTCTAAAAAAAAACATTCCCTTTATTTTATTCCTATTTGTTATAGTTTATATTTTAACATGGAAACTTAGTATTTAGAATAAAATTTTCAACATTTAATTTATTTTAAGAACTAAATATAATATTCAATGGTTGAAATTTTCAAACCTAACAAGAAAATAAAACATTTTTTTTAAAAAATAGATTCAATATTTTAGAAGAAAAAAAACGTTAAAGTTAACAATTTTAACATGGTCTAGGTTAGAACATCTAACTCTACTTGAAATTATGACAGCTTACTTAATTTTGGTGACTTATCTTAATTTTTTGAGCGTTTAAAAACTAAGAAAAAAGCAATTTTTCCAGGTTTTATAATAAGCGTTTTACTTAGAACGAAAGCAGGCCAAAAGTGTTTAAAAAAAACCATGCTTAAATATCATATGTAAATATATAAGTAAAGAATATAAAAATATTATATTTCACTTGCTTTTTGTTGGACTTTATAAAAACATATATTTCAATTTTTGATCTTATAAAAACTTCGTAAAATTCAAACATGTTGGTTACCTTTTTTAGATATAAAATTGCATTGTCCTTGCAAAAAAAAAAAAAAAAAAAAAAAAAAAAAAAAAAAAAACGTTTACAGAATAGAAAACAAAATATAGAAGCTGCGAATATTTAGGCTAAAATCGTGAACCTCTTTGAGACGGGCGAGTCATATATGCTTCGCTTCGCTTTATTTAAAAAGAACTGGGCACCTGGGCCGCGCAGCGGCCCCTATCCCATACATCATGACATATATACATTGTGTTTAAAAACATTTTGAAATTTTGCTACATTGTGGTGGCAAGAGTCATATATGCATTCTCAGGGTGTTGATAATCATGGTAAAAAAAAAAAAGATAAAACTGGTAGCCAAACTTTTTTTATAGCAGTTTATGTGTGGGCTGGCTGATTAATAATAGTTTGCTTTATTTAATTCACCACTAATTAGTTCGAATTAAAAATTGCATACTTACACTTTTAACACACAAGGATTGAATGTGTTAGATTTAAAGAGAAAGCTAAAGTAAGTCTGTCAAATTATCTTTGCCCAAACTTAAGCTACCGCTTTTTATATTTTACTATCTTAATTCTGATTCCGAACGAATACATTTATGACTCCCCCGTTCCGAAAAGGTTAAAAATCAAAATGTAAAACACATTCTGCATGAGTTTGAATAGACAATTTCATACGTGCTGTTAAATGTTGCTGCAAATAAACTGAAATGGTCGCATATAGCAGGGACGCCAACTGCTGAAGTTGTAGTATATATGTAGCGAATTCAATAGTAAAACTTGTAGTATAAGGACAATTACGCCTATTTTTTTAAGGTTTTACCTGGCAATAACTGAAGACTTAGACTGAAGTTGAGTACAGAGTCCCTAGTCCTGTCGGTTGGTCGGGGTGCCTGAGCCCGGAACGGCCCTTTACCCATTCATCAGACAGAGTCCCTGCCCGCGACCTCACTCTTTTATATGTGGTAGAGCCCGTGGGCAGCGAAGATAATGGCAGTATAAGTGGTCAGCGTGATAGAAATACAGAAGCAATAGTAGACTTGAGTTTACACAGTTACCTATATCTAAAACCATTGTTTTAGAGTAAACTGTGTTTGAGTTTTGATAACTATGTTTGAGTAAACTCTGTACAAAACTTATTAATGGAGACAACGTACTTATTTTTATGGAAGACCGTAAAATATCTCCTTATTGACACCAATAATGCTTAAGTGTCGTAGTAGGCACTCTGGCATTATGGAAATGGATGCGGTTTTAATATGTACCAAATATACTCGTGCATAAGTACAAAGTATTTTATGAGTAAATTTAGTGTCCATTACAGTACTGAAAACTGTACATTTTTATGATAGATACTGAAGAAATAGGTTTTTACGGCCCCCGAACATATAAATGCATGAAAGTAGCTTGATTGTGGTAAATTTAAATTATCACGAGTTGCATGGAGTAACAGCATTATGCCTGATGATACCGAATATAATCTTTATTATTCGGTTTGCTTTGCAGTTTTGTGTATGATTCTGTAATCTTGTATTACTGATTTATTGATTTTTTTCCACCTTGGACAAAGAACGGATATTCAGCCAGCAGTTTAGTAAAGAAAAGCAGAAGTATAATATCATCATGTTACAACATGCCTCTGAAACATTTCTTTATACACAATTATAAATATTGCTTTTCCGAAAAATGTTTTCTGAAAACAAAAGATTACAATAATAATTAATCCTGGTTTAATTTAATTCCCCAAAAGATTAGATAAGAGTTTAATATCATAGACACTTTTTAAAATATTTTACATACTTAATCTTAGACTTTTTATCATGAATTTCTTCAGATATTTGACAGCACATTTTAGATCATATATAGACTATTGTAACGAATCAAGCTATATTAAGAAACAGTTCTGTTTTTATAAAAAAATATACATTTATTTCACAACAGCAAATACAGTAACGAAATTGAAGTACCCGTAATGGGTTAGTAATAATCTTTGCAAAAAATTTAGAAAAACCTGTAACGGGTTAGTATAAACTTCAAATTCAAAAACAAAAACTATCTTCTAAAAAGTCAACAACTCTCTGTTGTTTTAAAAGTTGTCTCGTGCTTTTATTTTTAATGAATCTCTTTATGTGTTTAGTTTATTTTATTCATTCATATATTTTTTTTAAATATTTTTAAATTTTATACCGTATTTAGACACTTTTATATATAACTTTTATCTTATTTAGATCTTATATAAATTGAATTCATATTAACATTTTTCAAATAAGAATGATAATTTTGTGATTTATGTATTTCTACTTTAAAATGTATTTCAACTGTATCAACGACACGGCATCCCTAAAATGTTATGCCTTTAATATTTTTGTGTAATCGATATGAAAAATTAACCCTTTGCACTCCAATGTCGTCTCTGAGGCGTCATCAACAGTCACTAGTCTAAAACTAGAAATCTTTGTTCATTAAAAATGATTAACCACACTATTTAAAGAATTTTAAAAATTAGATAAAATTACTGTATTACATATTTTCAATGACTTAGAGCATATATTAGTTCAAACAGAGTTTTAAAGTACTCGGAGGACAAAAGCTTAACAGCATTTTTTAAACGAAATTCTGCACTTGGACATTTTTTTTAAAAAACAAAGCCTTTTTTTCTGTTATAAATTATGACCTTTTCTACTGATGAGTATGTGGAAGGTGATTAGTAGAGCCCGGATTTTGATGACCTAAAAAATCTCAATTAATGCCCTTAAAAAGTGCAAAAAATGCCCTTATGAACTGCAAAATATGCCCTTAAAAGTGCAAAAAATGCCCTTAAAATGCGAAAATTGCGCTAAAAATGCCTTATGACATGACTTAAATAGAAGTAAAAATATTGAACTAAAACAATGTTTTACTCTTCAAAATTATTATGAGTCGTTTCAAAAAATATAAAGCAATGCAATACTTGTTCTACGTTCATTAAAGTTTGACAAATATGTTTTATATCCAAAAATAACAAAAAAAGGAAAATATATTGACTCCAAAACATTTTCATTTTGTATAGAAACTTAAATGAATATAACAACTTCCATCTCATAATATTACTAAATATCAGAATTACAGTGGATTATTAAATTTTTTCTTTAATATTTTGAAATGTAAACGAGCGTCCCTTGTCTGAAAGCAAATTTTTATACCAGGAGAAGCTTCTTTCAACGTCTACTGATGTTATTGGTGCGTACTTGAAAAGAACGGGCACACTTACTGACAATTCTTCTTCAATTTGGAAAGATGTTGCTTCACCTGTTAATATCCTAGAAATTTTCTTCATTGTTTGGAAGCCAGTGTAATAATAAAAAATTATAAAAAAATAATGAAAATTAGAAAAATTTAACAAAAAATTTAAAAAATGCTTTAAAATGCAAAATACGCCACTTTTAAAGAAAATGCCCTATAAATCTCAAAAAATGCTCTAAAGGACAAAGAATGTCCAAAAATGCAAAAAATGCAAAAAAATGCAAATGTCATCAAAATCTGGACCTTAGTGATTAGATTTAAAAAGGCGTAACAATCGAGATTAATTATGTATCAGACGTCATTTGTATATACAAATTTAATTCATATATAAACTTTTGAATAATTCACGTCTTTTGAGCCACACATTTAGAATGTTTTGTGAAATGAAAATCAATACGAAAAGAAAGTAGGGCAAAGACAAAAATGCCCTCCAAGATGGTTTTCCCTTTCTTAACATGTAGAGTCA